GCTCACTGAAACCTTACCCTAAGGACGCATGGGGGCCAAAGCTGTAGCTGAGGTGCATTTCTAGTTAATACTGGAACTCTGTGTAACAATACTAGCTCTGGATGTATAAGAAATATTAATGAACACAAAAGGAAAATATAGAGAACCAAGAATAAAAGATAACTTTGAAAACTGGACTCCTCAGTTCACAAAAAAGGATTCAAATTTTCTCAGGCCCACAAAAAAGACATATAACAGTGTAATTCCCATAGAAAGGGGAGGTTCCAGGGTCCCTGCCCCACCTAAAGAAGGGTGCTGCAGAGCAACAAGGGGAAGCTAAAAAGGACTTGGGAGAGAAGGCTGGAGGCAGAAGACATAGAGGAGGCACATGGAGCACAGAGACGTGTGAAGAAGCAGCAGCAATTGCATCTCTGCCTTGGGCCTGAACCAGGGACTTGGGTGACATGGAAAGAGACACATGAAAGAGATAGAGATGTGGGTAAGAGTCCCATGAGGAGACTGACAGTGGCAGCCTTTATCTTGAATTGTATTTTGATTTTGTTCTTTACCTTCTAGACTTGCCTGGCCCCTTCGGCCCCTTTCCTATGGGTCCCCACCAGAATGTGCCTTAGACTTATGGCAGCTTTCATGCCCCAGTGGTCCTGCTTGGGGCAACCCTGTTTGCCTGGGCACTTACCCACAAGGGGATGGGTAACTTTGGGTGTTCCACGGGGAAACTATTTTAAATGTAATTTTTCTCTCCTATTGCATACTAATTATATTAAAGTTCTTTTCTGTTGAAGGTTGTAACTACTAAAAATATTTTTGTCTTTTTGCAGCAGAAGGCAGGACCCATTTACAGCATGCAGGTTTGGGCCCCTGGGGTGCCTCTCATTTTTTTCTGCCTGCTAACAGAGAGACTCTGGGGAAGTACAAAGTTACTGATGGAGGCTAAGAGTAGAAAATTTAGGATGTTGGCATCACAAGATCAGAAACTGGAAGGTAGGGGTAGAAATGATTAGCATAGTTGTTAAACCAGCTATAGAAATGAAAAATCCTTAGCTGCCAAACTGCTATAGCAAGTGTCAGGCTGCTATGGAAAGTATCCGGAGGGGGACCTCCTTGGTGGCACAGAGGTTAAAGACAGTGCTGTCAAGCTGTCACCAGCCACTGCAGCACCAGTTGTTAGATCCCTAGCGGGCAGGGAGCAACCCACATGGTGCCACACCCACTGCCTCCCTCAGCAGTGTAGAGGGGATCTGCCTGTTCTGCTCCCTACTCTCTCTGGTGAATCCTCTCACCCGCCCCGCACCCATTTCTTGCATGTATGCATAAATAAATCCTTTTAAAAAAGTATCTGGAGGCGCAGACTAGAGAGGTAGGGATAAGGAGATTGAGGGTCATTGTAGAGAATTACTGGTCCTTACAAAACAACCTAGTCAAACCTTAGAAGTAATTAATTTAACAATGCATAACAATTCCACAAAGGAACAAATCCCTCCCAAAAAGAAGACTTTATCAGTACAATTTCTGCATTGGCAAGAGACAGCTCTCCTGCCCACCTGTGTCTATACAAGCATTTCTTTTAGCAAACCTGTCCCTTTCAAAGGCAGCTCTTTCTGCCCTCTTGTGACTGCAAGCAGTCTTTTTGCTTTTCCTTTTTTATAGAATAAACCTGCCCTTTTGGAGATAACTAATCTCTGCCTTGTGGGGAAGCTCACGTGCTGCTGAAAAGGGAGCTCCGGTGAAATTTTCTCAGAAGGTACCCTGAGGACCCCTGCTCAATAAACCCGACAGTCCTGACACTGACATCAGTTACGACAGAACCAAATTCTGTGGATTCAGAGGCACCAGCTACAGGAAAGCAACAAGATGTCTAAACCATTCATTTTTTCCAAAATCATTTATTCACTAAGACGTTAACCTTGAAAGTGGAAAATGGTTGCCCTAACTGCCTCCTCTCTCAAATCACAGCGCAGTGCTCCTTTAAATGGTCTGAAATGTTCCTAAAAGTCATGTTTTTAATCATGAAAGTTGTCAGCCTTGCCTGGTGGCCCTGGGGAAGTTGGGCAGAACACCTCTAGTGGGCACCATACCCACCAGCCTCCTGGATCAGGCATCTCGATGAAAGTTCAGGCCAGGCAGGGGGATGCCTCAGGCAAAGAGATCCTTCCCACCTTCCAACTAGTTTGGCCCTGAAAGTCAAGATTGTTTAGGAACAGAACAACTAGAAGAAATATCAAAGAATCCTACTAATCCCAGAAAAGGCCAGGGAAAAATCTTAACCCAAACCAATGTTTAAGTTTTTGCCCCAACTAGATTTGATTTTTGCTTTTTTTTCCATTTATTTCTCTATATAAATTTTACATGATTGTTCATTTTTGTAGTTTGCTTTCTCCTCTCAGATGTAGTCCCCATAAAATTCTTACCATCAAGTCACCCATGCATCATCACCACAGTCTCTTGTGCTTTTCCTGCCCCTGTTTTGATCCCTCTCCTTCTCCCTCCTCTGCTGAATGACTCCAGGTTTATAGTTGCCTGCTAGTTTTGTATTTTTTTCCCTGATCCCTTATTGAGTTCCCCTATGTTCCTCCTATAAGTGAAACTTCAGAAAGAAAAATCTGATATTTTTCTTTTTCCTTCTGATTTGTTTCACTAAGCCTAATTCCTTCCAGCTCCATCCTAGAATTGATCTTTGGAAGGAGGAAGAGGGGCCCAAGAGTTTGGAATCCCTGAGGATTTCTCCTAGAGAATGACAAGGCCAAAACTAAAGGAAAAGCAGTGGTCTACAAAATCTATAATTGAAATAGGGTAATTACAGGACCAGTCTTACAAAAAACTCAAGGGGGAAGGGTGCAGGGGGTGGAAGTATGTGGGGAGGGGGCTGTGACAATTCTCGGGGTCGCACACCTTCAGTGACTAACATCAGTCACTACAAGGCCCAAGGCACCTTTCATACCCATTCCTAAAGCTGTAAGTTGCTCATAAACTTTTTTTTTAACTTTTTCATTAATAGGCTTCTAGGAAAAGATCATCTTAACTTTTTCTTAGCCTGGAGTTGTAATAGGGTGGTCCCCAGGAAAGGGGGAGGTTCCAGAGAGACTCTGAGTTGAGCAGAGAGAAGAAGCTACAGAGAAGACTGAGGAAGGAAAGAAGCAGGATGGAGAGCTGAGCCAGAAGGAGACTTGGAGGAGGCACATGGAGCAGAGAGACATGTGAAGAAACTACTCTTGCCTTTTGGTCATGGACTGGTTGACACAGATGTGGGTGAGAGACCTGTGGGGAGGTGACAGTGACGGTTTTTGTCTTGATGTTGATTTTGCTCTTTTCCCTCCAGACTTGTCTGGTTGTTTCTGATCCTTTTCTGTGGGTCCCCACTGGAAGATGCTTTAGACTTGTGGCAGGCTTTGGGGCCTTGCTCTGGGCCAATCCCATTTGGGTGGACTTTTACCCATGAGAGGACGGGTAACTTTGGGTGCTTGATTTAGAAACTATATTCCGGGGCCTCCCCTAGTGGCGCAGTGGTTGAGCGCTGGGTTGCCAGGCTGCGCGCAGCCTCTGCAGCACCGGTTTGATCCCCGGCCGCCGGCGAGGGTCCCACGAAGCGCGCAGACCTCTCCTGCCACCCGTTGCTCCCCTCAGCAGTGTATTTCGTCAGTCTGCCTGTTCCGCTTCCCGCTCTGGCTCTGGTGAATTCTCTCACCCTCTCACGCTTCTGACTGTACCCAGTGCTTGTATAAAAAATAAATAAATCTTTAAAAAAAAAGAAACTATATTCCTTGTCTTTTCTGTATTGTTTCCTAATTGTATTAAAGTTCCTTCCCATTAAAGTCTCATATGTTTTGTGTTGATGCGGCAGATGGCAGAACCCATTTAGAACAGGCAGATTTGCGGGGTCCGGAGTGCCCCTCTCCCTGCCCTGTAACAGAGTCACAGGTCTCAGTCACAGATGATTGAGAGATTAGAATTTGCCCTTACACATTTCTAGGAACACCCCTGATTCCCTCCCAATCCTTGTGTGTACAAAACCATATGCTAATTTAGTAAGCAGATGAGTAGACAGTGAAAATAACTTCGCTGCCCACAGGGATAGAAGACGGAGAATGTTACTTTCTAGGGCAGTTGCTTTCCACCAAGACCCATTGGTCATCTAAATTGCAGGCTTCCCTAATAATGATTAGGAATTTGCTCTCATTGATACTGACTGTCCAGCTGCAGAAGTAACTCACCTTCTCTGTCAACTGTCCTGACAAATTGCAGATCTTTATCTTTGGCTTCAAAGATACTTAGTGGAAAGCTAACACTCAAGAGCATCATAATAACAAGTACAAATACATTTTTTGTGCATTCTAAAGTTATAGCAATAAAACTTATTCCCATTAATATAATTATATTTTCCTAAAAATGTCATTATGTCAGAATCCCTGTATATATACATTATTTTCTTTTTTAAAAAAGGCTTTGGTTTCTTGTGTGAGACCTAAGTAACTGACAGAGCAACCGGAGGCCTGAGAACCAGTCTCTTAAAGGAAAAATTATTACCGTCCCTATTTTAAAGAAGTGCTGACAACCCTCCTTCCTGGAGTGAACGCTGAGCAATTTTACAAAGCAAGGTTTGAACTTTGATTCCAGGAAGCCTATGAGGGATGGGCGGGGTCACTGTCAGGGGGGGCAACCCCTGGAAGCCACAGACGGGCGGCGACCGCGGCCTCTTCCAAAATTGCAGGCAGACAGGCCGGCGCGGAAAGCCCCGGCAACCCAGCACCACTCAGTGGGGAAGAGTCCTCACCTGGCCCAGCAGCGCTGATGAGTCCCAGGCTCCGCCCCCGGTCGGAGCCTGATCCCGCCCAACAGACTGTGCTTACGCAAAGGTGCACTTCTAGGGGCCGCCGGTAGGGGGCGCTGGTGAGCGCGTTCGCGGACCCTCAGCCCACACGGGGTTTGGTGAATCCTCTCACGCCCCTCTCCCACCTCTGGCTTATACTCCAGTTCTTGTATGCATAAATAATTAAATCTTTAAAAAAATAAAATAAAAGTGAGTACAGGGCAATAAAAGAGAATGATTTTTACCCAACAGAAAAATAAGGTTGAAATTCTCAGATTCAGCACACCATTTAGAAAGTTCACTTTGGAGGGCTTGGTTTCTGTTGAAATGTTTCACTGTCAGTTTCTGGCCACGAAATAGTTTAGGTAGACTCAGGGCTACTATTGACAAACTTGCACTGACTCTTCCAAACAATAAGCCCCAAAGGAGCCAGGAAACCTAAAAAGCTGGGCAGACAACATATTAGAACAGTCATGAATATGGTTTTCAAGCAAGGAAATGTGACTGTGGAATCTTGTAAATCTCTTGCAATCTAAGATACTTTCCAACCATGTCAAAAGGCTTGGAGGGGCTTCTCTCAGCCTAGCCACACTCATCCATGATCAGAGAGCTAGAAATTGGAGATGTTGTCCCCCAAATTATAGATTTGACCAGAAGATTTCTGAAAGACACAGTCACTCCAGAATATTCTCCAGGCAGAAGTCATTTCTTTGGCTCTTGTAAGTGAAAAGGTTCAAGATGCCCCTCCTTGAGGGAATCCTGAAATAAAACCCATGAGATTCTCAGAACCAAGCAAAGTCCTTGGCATGGAGGGATACCCAGAGGACTCACTAGGACTTCAGATACTCATAAGGGATCTGAGGCTGTCCCTTTAGCAGGAAATAACTTCAGCTGTTTACAGCTCTTTTTAAATTTGAATTCAAACTACCTTTCTGGGAAACAGGAAAAAATAGGCATAAAAGACCTATCTTGAGTTTGTTTTCTGGTCCCAAGAATATAAAAAAAGTAGTTTGTCAAACCTGGAAAACGCTGAAGAATGTAAAAATCCCATGCCAATCAAAAAGCACAAATATAAAACTCTCCCCCAACTCCTACCCAAGAGTAAGTGAAGGAATTTGCCTCACAACTTTCAAAAATTCAAAGTGAGAAAATGCTGACAAGAACCTAACAATAAAGTGAGAAAATGCTTACAAGAATGAATAGGAAAGAGATAGCTACAAAAGTCCCACCAGTCACAGGCTCAAGTGATCCTTGTTTACCCATGGCTGCAAACTAAACACCCACAGCTCTGGTTAACATTCAGACAAACAGATATGCAGATATGTAGAGGCCTGACATACGGACATTTTATTGGCTCTCTCTTTAATTTGGAACAAATTTCTCCAGATCACAGTTCCTTGCATGTGCACCAAGTTTCCCTGGCTTCTCTGAAATAAGCTCAGCACCTACTAGGTGAATCATACATGGACAGGACACAGCATTATGTAATTTCTCCTGTCAGACAACTTTCCTCCTTGTCTACCTTGCAAATTCCTTCTCAGCTTTTAAGAGTTGCTGAAGTTTCCCCTCTTCTGTAACATTACCATCTCCTGCCACAAGCATTGCAGTTTTTCTGTTTAAGGCATATTACCACATTTTGGGCATGAAGGTACATTGGTACAAAGGAGAGCATTTTAGAAATGATAATGCACATATCCTCAGACATAACCATCTTACTGCCAGTACTTTCTCTAGTTAACTTAGGTAAGCTACACGGACGTTCTAACACTATTCATTCTAACAAAAGAGTGGAAACAATTCAGATGCACATTAATTTGAGTCTGGTTAAAGACAATGGAATATAATGCAATTGTTCAGAAGGACCAAGAAGTTCTCTCTATGCTGGTATCTGTAATTCCCACCCCACCCCCACTCCTTTAATTTGTCTAATAGAGAATCCTTTCTCCCTACCTCATTGAGGGATGATTGATAAATTCATAGAGAATCTTGACAGAGCACAGCAACCCACTGAAATTTGCTTTTCTCTCTCCTCTTCCTTGGGTATGAGGTATGAGGGGAAGGGGATGATGATATGATACCCAAACATTCCACCCTGGCATCAGAGTTATTCTGAGCTAAAGGAAATTAAGAAAAAACAGACATAGGAAGAACTCCTCTACCCTCTCCATATGTACCGAAAGGTAGGACATAAATTCCCCTTGTTAAGATGATTCTTGCTCCCATACATGAAAGAGGGGAACAACCTTTGTCGCCAAAGATGGCATCTAGATGAGTCTGCATAAACACATTGAATAAAATAACCCTTATATTCCACTTGCTTCTCCATATACTTACCCACATAATTTATGGTCCCTAAAACTCTTCTTTTGTTGTCCAGTAACTTTTCCCTTCATTAAAATGGTATTAAACTTCCAACTCTAATCACTTCTTCAAGTTTTCACTTCTTTCTTTGTATAGGCCTTCTGCATAAAAATATTAAAAACATCACTTATATCTGTATTTTGCACAGCAGACCTCTCCTATCTTGCCTGCTGCTATCCACCTTTTCTGTTCTCCAAAAATAAATACATAAATAAATCTGTAGCCTTTTTTTCTCCTGTTAATCTGTCAGTTTCACTTACAGAACTCAGAAACAGAACCTAAGAAGATAGAATAAAAGCTTAGTCCTCCCTACACAGGTATGTCAGAAAAGCTCACCGCATTAGCAATTCTGAAGTCAAGCTATGGAAATGTTGAAAACACAAGAGAGAGAGCTCTATTATTTCCAGAAGCAGTGCTGATGAACACTGCCTCTAGCCTTTGCTATTTTATAGGGAAGCTACAAAGATGTGCCAGCTATTCTCCCCCATCTTCTTCCAAAGACTTTATTATGTATCAGGACCTTTTATCTAACTGTCTTGCATAAAAAGTTTAGGTCCTGTACAATCACAAAGAAATAAATTATTCTACTCTCAAGGAGTCTAATGGTCCAGCACAGAACAACTGAAAGAAGGGGGTTCCACAAAGCAAATGCCAACACAGAGCTGCATAAGTTAATAAAGGTGACTGTAGAACAAAAACTCACCTAACCCAACAGAATTCTCACAGGTTTCTCTTCCCAATATGTGTAGACTCCAGTTGAGGCTTGTGTTTCAGTCCCAGGCCAAACCAACCACTTCCTATTTTTAGGACTATAAGTAGTTTACTTAACCTCCGTGTGACCCCATCCATAAAATGGGGATACTAGGATCTACCTCAAAGGGAAGTTAGAATTAGTAAAAGAGAGAGAGCATATAAAGTATTTGGCACAATGCCTGGTAGTTAGTGCCAAGTAAGTGTTAATGATTACTATCATCATATTATCAATCTGAAATTTTGAAGATGTTCCTCAGACTTTATTCTGCTATGAGGTATCAATGGAGCATGAAATTTATGAAGGAAGATTATTCATTTGTACATCTCAAGTCAACCTCATACTCACACTGTTGAGTAATTCATTTATTTATTGAGAGGGGAGAAATTACACAAAAGTTCAGATCATTTTAGATGAAGACCTTTTTCCTAGCACAGGTGTTATAGAAGCAGCACATGTTTGACAGCTTTTGAACTTTTATGATGTTTTTCACTGCAAATACAAAAGAAGCAAAACACTGACATTTGCTTCTTTAAAGTCCCATGAATTTATTTTCACAAGACACATGAAATAATGATGCCATTTTACTTCCACCACAAAAATCAATAAGCCATTTTTGGTCAAGGTCAGACTCAGGCTTCCATCTACAGCTGAAGGTTATCAAGCCAGCTGTGAGAGAAATGATTCTCCTCCTAGTCTCATTCAGTACTCTTTGGCCTATCTTTACATCAAGTTTCAGAATAAAGTCACTTCTAAATAAGCCTTTGGGGCCTTCCTGGTGGCACAAGGGATTAAGCACAGCACTATGAAGTGGTCCACAGCCTCTGCAGCACGAGTTCGCTCCCCGGCCGGCCAGGGAGAAACCCACAGGGCACAGCAGGCCTCTCCTGACTTGCCCGCTGCTCCCCTCAGCAGTGTATTTCAGTCAGTCTGCCTGTTCTGCTCCCCACTCTGTCTCTGGTGAATCCACTCACCCCCTGCATCGCCGGCCTGTACCCCAGCTCTTGTATGCATAAATAAATAAATCTTTAAAATAAATAAATAAATAAGCAAGCTTTTGTGAGAAAACATGTCTTCTATACTCTGATAGTCAGGTGAGTTCACCTTAATTGAAGTACAAGGTTTCTGAGGTTGGCTGAAAGGAACTAAAGTTCTGTATGTGTGAAACTGAGAGAGTACACTGGTCCTCAAGAAGGAAAAGAGAGTCCTCTACACAACAGCTGAAGACCACAAAATTGAGACACGATTTACCCGATATCATGGTGGAACATCTAACAGAGGGGAGGGTTTCAATGACAGACCTTACTGGCTAAAAGTGACCCTACAAGAAAAAAATCAATAGGCAAGAAAGGTCAAATGTGATAGATTTTTTTTTCCCCAAACAGAGTGTAGGTGATACTATACAAGTTGTAGGAAACACATGTCAACCAACAAGGCACTTAAAACTGAAACGGAAGAGATACCATACTGAGGATAATTGCTTATATTTTCTTTTCTGAACAAAATGGATCTGCAGACGGAACAACAACAACAACAAAAAACCTGAGAGAACAGTGATTATCACTACATTAAGAAAGAATGATTTTTATATTTTTATTTATAGATTTTTTAATCTGGCTGTATTTTCTAAAATAAAAAATAATTACTTTCCTCTTTAATTATGGATTTTTTTAATGGATAAGACTGGTTATCCAGTTGTAGATGAGGGACAATCTGAGATATTATCTGCAGCTACATAAATCTCCCCCATTAGACTCAAGACCCTCAAGGATGAGACCCTCAAGGATTCCTTCAAACCCCAAAACACTACTAACACAGGACCTAAATACACGTTGGCTCTATTGAGAAATATTAGCAAATTAATTTGTTTGTGGTCAAAAACACAAAGTAGGTGGCCCTGGTATAACCTCAGGAAGGTGCAAAAGGAAATGAAGTGTGAGCCTTTCTCACCAATATTTGGCAGGATTTTGAAAGGACATTCTTTCCAAAATGGTTCCCTTATAGGGTAAACATCAGTGACCCCGCCCCTCCGTCTAGAGCGCCTTCGGTCTCATTGCGTGCCCCTGGGGGTGTGAGTGCAAGAGGAGGGTGCAGGTGTTCTCCGGGGGAAAGCTTTACCAATCCCCCAAGAGGGAAGGGGGCCCAGTTTCCCCATGGTTGAAGGGGATCCAGTTTCCCAATTGGGGTAGGGGGGCCCCTAACCCAGTGGGGTCTGACGGTCACCGAAACCCCTCACCTGCGCCCCCAAGCTGAAACCCTGGGAAGCGCACCTTTGCGCAGGCAGAGTCCGGGGGCGGGGTCAAGCTCCAGCCTGGGGCATAGCCAGAGGCTCAGCAGCACTGCTGGGCCAGGTGAGGACTCTTCCCCTCTGAGTGGGGCTGGGTTGCCCGGGGCTT